CGATACTTGACAAAGCCAAATTCCCCTGTATCCGGATCGATGAGCCAAACATAAGGAGCAAGCAAAGCGGCTCCGAGAGGCTAATGCGGGTAAGAAGACACAAAAAGCCAAGGCCAAGCAGCTTGAAACAAGGAACCGGACCGCCAAGGCTGGCTCAGCACGGCGGCATCCTGTTACAGCCATGGCAAGTAGACAGAAAACTCAGCAGACCATCGCGATGCCGCCTGCCGATGACCAAAGTGACGTATCAGAATACGACGATAAGTCAAGCGATGAGCCGGAGGATGTGGATGTGGATTTGTTAAGTGTAGCGTCATCGGACGCAGAACTCGAGGAGAGTGGCGGCGACAAGATGGGGCTCTCAGATGATCACAACTCAGACACGGAAGAAGACCCTGAGCCTTCTCGCAAACGCAAGAGAGCATGACCGCATCTGTATTTATGGCCGTGGTATATACAGGGCGTTGTTACTACATGCCGATAAACTCGATTTGAAAAGCATAAACTTCTACATTATCTTCGATACATGAGTTGTACAAACCGTGCGAAAATAATCGCAATCCTTGGGCAGGTATCCAGCTGGACCTGTTGGGTGACTGTCGTGTGACCCACTACCTGGTGACCAGATGAGCTACCACATGGTAGCCAGACCTTACCGGCCGTCTGGTAATCATACGAGAGAGACGCTTCAGCCATCTGATCGCTCGGGTGGCTCACGGTTTAGGCGCGGGTGTGGACTCTACCTGGGCGAAAATTGGTGGTGTAGGACAATGCAAGTTGAACGAGGACCGAATATGGCAGCCAGGCCAACTGAACGCGTCGGAGAAACTATTTAGCGCGCGTGCCAGCTCGGTACGCCTGGCAATTGCGTTCCTCTGGGCCTTATCCTACACGCTCACCTCTTTGTTGCAACCATCATGCTGCGGAGATCGCTGATAACACAACTCTCGTTGAGACAACGATGTTCCCCCGGCTATCCGCTGATATCTCGCTCTACGTTCTTTCCTTCTTATCTCTACCAGACGTGCTCAAACTTCACAGAGTCTCTCGCGACATTCATCGCTTCTTAGACCACAATGAAACTGCTATCTATCACCAGCTCGTCGTCCTTCATCGTTTCGTCTCCCCTGGAATGTCTCTTGAGGATGTAGTCGAAGGTGGACGCGACCGGCTGGACGGCATCAGCACATGGAAGGAGCTTTGTGAGTATCACGTCTCTTACTCGTGCGGTCCCTCAGCTGACTCGGATACAGGTAGACGATGCGTTGCGAACGAATGCAACTGGTCCGGTCGTGGATCTGTGACCGAAGGCGGATACCTCTCGTACAGTTCGGAAGTCCGCTGGTTCAGGGTCGACGAGCTGGAACGCACAGTCCTCGCGATCACAGAGACTTCTCCGGATCGGACGCTTTCCGTGCGCGCTCTCGAAGACGGTAAACTGCTTTGGAGTCTACCGGCGGTACGTGTCACGACTCTACTGTTATATATCTTGGTAGCTGTGCTTTGACACCAGACACTGAGCACGGTATCTTCAGGTAAACAACCTCGACCTGTCGAACGGCTGCCTCTTACTGTGGCGCAACAACGGCGGCATAGAGGTTTGGAAGCGCGCGAACGATGTTGTGAAGGCCTCAACGCCCGTAGCAAGTCCCCTTCGCGAGCCGTCTCCCCTCGCCGCGACAGCCTCCCAGCTCAAGCAGTCGCCTTTCGCCTTGGACAAGCCCCGAGACCTTCGTGGCGTCTACCTTCCTCATGCCTTCCTCCCGTCATTCACCGGCGCGCCGTTCCGTATCGCCCGGCTCAAGGCCCCGTTGCTCGCCGCCGTTGACATCGAGGCCGCGCACGTCGTGCGGCTGTACGATGTCGACCAGGGTGTTCTCCTCCGCTGCTTCGATCTTGATGTCATCATCCATGACAACGTCCGGGACCAGCAGCCCGCACAGTTCGTCCTGCTCGACATCGACCTATCCCCAGAGTACCTTTGCGTATGCTTCGACTCCGTGGTCGTCGTCGTGCCGCTGTACGACGACGGGACCGGTGGGCCCTCGGCAGGAAACAAGACGCCTGCGTTCGTGTACGTGGAGGATCAAGGCCCGTTCGAGGTCCAGCGGACTGTGCTTCAGCTATCCAAGGACGCAGCTGAGGACCTGTCCTCCGGCGATGGTGGGATCGTCCTTGCAGACAAATACGTCAGCGCCGTAAAAGTGTCTGGAGCTGACGCCTTAGAGGCGCATATAGCCGTTCCACCGCCACTACAGACGACTGAAGAAGAGAGCAGGGCCCTAATCCGACCCGGTGCGCGATGGACGTCTGGCCTTATCTCAGGTGGGAGCCTCGTCGGACCCCTCTAGTATTGACTATCAACTTACTTTTACCAGCAAAATTCTCTCCGGACGGCCGCCACCTGATCGCAGGGACGGTCTTCAGCCTACTGTATCTCTTCCCCGACTTCTCACGCGTCCTGCGCGGCACCACCGACTGCGCCAACGTCGTGCAGAAACTTAACATCGGCGAGCCCGTCCGCGACCTACTCTGGGACGTCCACCCGCAACGAGTCGCACTCCGAACGGTACACCTGCTCTTCCTTCTTTTGGTATCTGACAGCTGACACCGTGCGCGCAGGAGCCCGGCGACATCTACATCGTGGACCTCAATCCGGGCTACTACATGGATGTATGCGCGCCGCCAGAGGCCGCCGTATCATTCGCGCGCGCGCGGCTTCTGCGCCTCCGCGACTTCGCGTCGCTCTACGGCACCTTATCTGGGAACATGCAGATGGATGCCACCAGGCTCTGGTTCGTGTGGGACGTCGCACAGGTGCACGAGAACGTGCAGAACCGTGTCAAAGAGCAGGGAAAGACGCTCACGTACGCCCCGAGTGCGGACGGGAGGCCGGCTCGCCATTATAACGTTGACGAGAAAGGTATGTCTGGTACTTGTGTTTGTCGGACTTTGAGATACTGATTCGCGCGTAGTTGTCACCGTATGCTTTGTTGATTTTGCTGATAGATTCTGAGGTGTAGTTTGCTTGTCGCCACTGATAGACTCCTTGTATGTATCATCAGCATGAATTAAGAACACTAGGACTAGCCATGCTGTTCGACCATGAAATGAGAGTATTTTTATTCCTAGGTAGAGAAAGAATACAAAGTATATATTTGGTCACAACGTCTAAATCCAAGCATTACAACAGGCGAAAGCTACATCTCAGAGTTTTGAATACACGCTGATTTTGTTCTTCTCTTTCCATACAACTTAGATTCCACACGCTACTTGTGTCTTCAGCGGAACGCGATTCATGCGCGAGTTGTGGCACGGCAGCCTAGTGAGCTTGGCCCCTTCTTACACGCTACCTCGTAGCACGGCCCATTGCTGCGCGCCGAGCCCAGGGGATGTTTAGACACCTGTACCTGCTTGCCAATCCCATCAATTTGGTCGAGTGGTGGTTGCAGCAATGGCGAGCATGCAAAATTTCGGTGGGGATTGGCAGCGTCGGCGAGGTGGTCGATGCGTGCATCAAAAGCATGATTGTCAAGGGCATCGTCGGGCGAGCGCGGAGGATCATGTGAAGATGAAAAAACGACAACCGTCAGTAGCTGCTGAAGAACATCGTGCTAAGGGGGTTCTTTACCTGCTGGCGCATCGGATGCTGACGCGGGCTTGTCGTAGTGCTCGGCGTGTCCGTCGTAAAACTTGGCTGTCACAGAGCCGTCCTGGTAGTGCACTTGTGAGCTATGTAGAAGGACAGATCCAGAGGAGACAAACCTGGTTGCCGAAGTACACGGCCTTGGCCATGTGGCAGAACAGCCCGACCTCGACGACGCCGGTCAGCATCTTGATTCTGGTGAGCAGCTGTCGATGACGTCATTATTCGCTTTGCGAGCCCTGGCAGAACGCAGAGCAGGCTTACAGTCATGGGGTCTCGCATTTCGGCTTCGCCGAAGGGCGCATCGATGATGAAGTTGCCGTTGTCGCTGACGATGGGGCCGGCCTTCATCACGGCCATGCGGAGCTTGGGGTCAGTCGAGCCGAGCGTCCGCAAGTTGTGCAGCACCTTGGCGTAGGCGAAGGGGGCGACTTCTACTGGGACACCTTTCTTCCACTGCGCAAAGCTCAGCTGTAGATCGCGGGAGAGTAATGGAGAGACACACGTTAACACCTAGAACCTCCGAGTTTTTGCGATAGTCCGCGACGATGATCCATGTATCTGCGGCCTCAGCGAGCACCTTCTCCCTCAGATGACATGCTCCTCCACCCTTTATGCAATTAAGGTCCTTATCCACCTCGTCCGCGCCGTCAATTGTGACATCAATGTGCGGGTACTGATCGACGTCTCCGAGGCGGAGGTGGGCGTCGACGATGAGCTCTTTGGACTGGAAGCCGGTAGGTATAAAGACACGGTCCTTGTTGATCTCGGGTCCCTGGGCGACGATGCGTTCGACGACGTACGGTACCGTTGAGCCTGAGCCGATTCCGATGACCTGTTTGTGCATGAGCCCTGCGCCCTCGACCGTGCGACCAGACCGCATCCCCGCCTTCCCCGACCCGTCTGGCTCAGCCTTGAGGACGGCAACGCACCTGACAATCCTTTGTGACGTGCTTATCCACCGCAGTCCAGGCTGCTAGCTGTTTGGATGCCTCTACGACGTTTGTCGGCGGAGCGACCTGCAGGCTGCTCGCTGGCATGTTCGTTAGCGGCTGCGCGCGGAGTTTTGAGCGAAGCGGGAGAGGGTATTCGACTTCTGTGGGAGTTCTATGGTTTCTTGTAAGCAAGAGAATCTCACTCGGACTCGTCGTTTGTAAACGTACGAGACTCCGGGGGTGAGGACCACTGGCGGAATCGGCATCCTAATCAAACGCCTTGGTCTGTTATATCGTCGGTTGTCGAACCTTAACCTTCAGAAGGTAAGAAGGCATGTCTGGACGTACAGAAGAAGCCGGGTCCTGTGGGAGACGAAGGGAAGGGAACGGCGGATGTGGGCTCGAGCGAGGGTCGGAGTCATCTCCTGTTTTGCCTCCTACTCTCATCACGGCACTCGGCTTGGCACGGCGTATCGTGCAGGCTCTCAGCAGCGATACCCAGGGTCACGAAATTGTCGTAGGCTGAGGATATGAAGGCCATACGGGGTAGGGATTTCCACGATATATCACAAAGATAACAGTCTCACGGAAGCTCGTGTAGGCGTAGTTCTCACCTGGTCCGTCTCCGACCTCTTCGTGGCGTGTTCAGCGCTCATCCTTCCTGAACAGCGATCCCGCGGTGAAACAGATCCTTCTCACGATGAACGAGAAACTGTCTTTCATCATAGAAGACCTTGACGAACACCATCTGGTCATTAAAGCGGACGAGGAGTGGCGGGTTCGGAGGGAGCTTGAGGCTGAGGTGTGTTTCACACTCGTGACGGCTGCTAATGTTGGTTCTAACGATCGTTTCCTATGTATAGCTCGAGAAGAACACGTACAGCCTGGAATGATTTGCAAAGCTCACGTCCCTTCCATTACCCTGAAATTATAGGCTCGTCGCTGCGTGGCGCCCTGAAGCTCTCGCAAGAAGCCAGCACGCCGATTTTGCCCCACGCGTCCTCGTGTTTCTACGCGTTGTTCCACACCAACAGGAGCGCGATCGTGCGCATCTACATGTTTGCAAGCGCGATTACCGTAGGGCGAGCTTGACTCTATAAACAGATGGTGTATGCTGAGCGGCTTGGCACGTCAAGGAGCGTCATCCTAGTCCGATCCAGTGTACGATATCAAACTCGGACGGGCCTGAATAGAGCGGAAAACATGACTGTTTGGGATCTTCGGATCTCTAGATATCCCTTAGCCTGAATTCAATCTCATGGAAATGCTACTCAACATGATGAGGGTCCTCAGGCTTCCGATCCACATACTTTATTTCCGTGCTTCTCCAAGTCTTTCTCAACACTAAACGATGTGAGCTCTAGAATATACCGTCTTGCAGCTCGAAACCAGAGCCATCCGCATATGCACGCAAGACATAGTTCTCCATCATCGCACGTCGCCGTCTCCTGGCTCTGCTGACCCTTTCCTCGCAGGCATGGAGCACCTAGTCTCCCGCGGGCACGGACACGGGTCTGGCCAGTCGCCGACGACTTCTTCGCGCCAGGCTAGATACGATGACGGAGGGTGGCACAGGATCTGGAAAGGCCAACGAGTAGGTGTGGCCACGCAAATTACTGCGTGCGTACGGCTTTACTGCGGGTGTCTCTGCCAACTTTGTGTCACCCGTTGCTCCTCTTAGCCGCGACCTCGCCGCGGTCGTCTGGAAAGGTGCCCCGCTGATCCTTCCAGCCGATATAGGAATGAGCAATTCGGTTACAGCTAATTTCGCACATCACTTCGTGCGATACGATCTAATCCAATGTGTACTCAGATACTCCAAGTCTTGTTCACAATGCGCGGCAGTGAGGGTTGAGGGGAGAAAAGAGATGAGATTCCCCAAGTCCAGCCTCGACTATGAGGCTGCGACCCGGCCAAACACCGATCTGTCACAGAGCCAGATAATAGTACATGAAAAGCGAACAAGGTCTCATCCGGGTTGAACCGGCGAGTGTCGAACAAGATCTGACCGACTGGTCGCGGACACGTCAAACCATGTTGTACACATATTTCGCAAGACAGTACACTGGAGGCGAAGTAGACGGAGATATGAATCCAGGGGATAAGACAAAGAGATAACAATACTTAGAGGATACCCATCTCCTTAGCCTCAGCCCACTCCTTCGGGTACAGTTTCGCCGCAGCGGCCGGGAACAGCGTCAGACGAGCGTAGCCGCTGCGGATTAACGGGTCCTCGATGGTGTGCAGCTTCAAGATCTGGGGGCTCGGAGGAACATGATCCTTGGCTGCGTTTCTGCCGGCGAACTTCGGCAGTGGCAGCACAGGCTTCTCGAGACGAGTGGAGAACGCGTACGGGACAGTGTAGCTATGTGAGGGTTAGCAAGCGAGTGTGCTAGGCAGATAGAGTATACTGACCGGTCCTTGTCGATCTTCATGGTGTTGACGCGGTGGGTTGTCGCAACGATCTTCCCGCCAGTCAGCCTCATCAGCTGCATACCTGCCGGTAAATTCCTCATCAGATACTTGCACCGTCTGTAAGAAGCGGGCCACTTACCGGTGTTGCAGACGACACCGCCCTTGACCATAGGGACGTCGATCCACTCCCCAGCGTGATTTTGGACCTGCAGGCCGGGGCGCGACTGGATCAGGCAGGTGATCATCGTCGACGGGTCACGGTGCTCGTGCATTCCATTGACGAACCCGTTCTTGGCCGTCGCGCGCCTCTCGGGCGTGAGCGGCAGGTAGCGCCAGATCGCAGCCGTCCCGTTAGGCTCCTCCGTGTAATAGTCGCTAATTGCAGATTCGGGGATGTCGAGAAGGGTGCAGATGTGCTTGTTAAGGCTCAGGTTGAGCGCGATGTAGCGTTCGAACAGTGTCTCGATGGCCGACCGGAAGCCCGGTATGTCGGCCTCCGGGGGCCATTGGTTGGGGCCTGCAAGAATACGGTCAGCCTGTGAGCGTCGATGTATGGTATGCCATCGCTGGGCACACCTTCTTGCAATGTGCGCCAGAATGGAATCTCTTCGTCTCCTTGCGCCACAGGCTCTGGGACGTCAGTTCCGAACCGGTACCCTTCAGCGAATGACTGGAGAAGTTTGCGTAAGACTCTTGCATTCCCATTGATACGAGTGACAAACCTTGTTATCTTCTTCGACATCCTCACCGCGGAAGTAGCCCCGCATAGCCTTCGACTTTTCAGTCGAAATAGCGTCCTTCCATGCCTGTGGCTTGCTGTAAAACTGTTCGGAATACGCGAAGATCTTCTGCTGGAACTCCTCTTCGAATCCAGGGATGTTGATGAAGACGCCGAAGCCGACGTCCTCGAATGCGGTGCGAAGCTGTTCGTAGAATGTGGCAGGGTCAGACTCGGACAAGGCCCAGTCGACGATGGGGATCTTGTCGAAGACCAGCTGGGTCGTTGAGACGAAGGAAGAGGGAGGCGCGGAGACTTTAGAATCCCCGTTCATCATGTTGAAGTATTGTTAGCTGCTGTAGTCTGCGTCGTCAAGAGGGAGGCGGCAAATACGCAAGTGTTCGCTGTCTGTTCGACAGAGATTTGACCATGATATGTGTCTTATATACGAACGTGAGGCTCATAGAGAAAATACGAGTAAATAACGAGCGTACGAGGCGTCGGCGAACAACGCCGTTATCTTGCTCTCCCAACCTAAGAACAGCGTATAATTTAGTCCAGCGTTTGGCACATCACCTTGTATCGGAACCGGACGACACCCTTGACGAGCTGGACCATTTGAAACTCCCTTTTACCGAGATAAATGTAAGATCTCTCTGATATGTTACCATGCTTCTATGTGCCTGAAGGACTAAACTTCTTGAGGTTAAGCTGCGGACTGGGCAGATAACACAGGGTGGCTGGCGGAGCTTTGTTCCTGAGAAAACTTGGTAAAAAAAGGTTCAATAAAAGCTATTTCCCCTCGATTGCGTATCGAAGCAAGTTGAGATGAAACCTGGTGCAAAATCGGCCAAACAGGCAGGTGACGCCGAAGTCTGCTCGTGAAAGAGTCGTAATCAGTGAACGACTCCGTTGGGATCACCTCGAGAATGTAGAGAAGGGTGTGAATGCACTTTTCGAGCTGGAGACCGAGCAAGGTATAGCGTTCGAAGAGCGTCTCGCAAGTCCGATAGATCAACCCTGGTTGGTCGCTGATTAGTCCTATAAGAACACTATCAGTCCGTTAACGTGGAATCTGCGGCCATAGGGCGCACTTGGAGCTTGCGGTTGAATTAAATCTGCTCTTCGTCTTACAGATCTGTTCAATAGCGTTCAGGGGGCCAGACGACGACAGGTGGTCAGCAACAGTCCGCAGTCGCTGCTCCAGAGCGATACGGTCGTAGTTCAGGTAGGCGGCCGCCAGAGCAGGGCACAAGACTTCTCCAAGGCCCGTCTTTGGGAGCGACTTGAGAGGTAGAGT